CGCTGGTGCGTGAAATTTTTAACTGTTTTCCAATGTTTGAACTATTTCTGCATAGACTAAAGTAAAAAGCTGTGAAAAGTACAAAGCCATCGTTTGATGGGCCGAATTGCACAAAACGCATGATGGCCACCGGCCATTCTGGTGCGCGCTGCTATTTATTATGTTCTTATCACATCATGAAGCATCAAGTGCGAAATTATTTTTTAATATTCATCTGTTTTTTTATAGGCATAGTTAGTATTTTTGCACATGAATATTTGCGAGGCGACGTTTGGAGACGTGAAGATGGTGCTCAGCACAAACCGTTAATTCTTCAAGTAGCAAAAGCTTTTCCAAAGTGCTCTTGTCGGAAGAGCTATTGATCGGCAATTTCTTTAGAAGGCAGAAGGAACGTCGGGTTAACCAGCAGACTAACAAATAGCCGGGTTTCAGTGTTGGTAGCCATTCCAGACGCCAAATACCAAATAAGCATTTGCGCTGCGATAGGCAGTACCAGTAAAAAACAATTGCTTCTGTAATCGAGTTTTTTGTGCGGGCCTCTTGCTACCTACAAAAATTTTAACAGATGTTAGCAAGGGTACTAACATTTCGCGAGCAATCGTGTAGAGACGCACTCACTGAATATGCTGTGCATGTTGGATATTTTTTGAAGACTTCCCAACTGGGTAAATATTGTTTTTTTTTTATCTCGTAGCTCCAGAATTTCAATTGCTTAGAAGGTTTTTATTTATTTATTTTTTAAACAGGTCGGCCAGTTGTTCCCACAAATGATCCCGCCAACAAATACACTTTTGGGTTCATCGATTAGTCGCTTACTTCCAAAGGATTCCGCAAAGAATTTGGCGAAGGATGTCTTCCGAGCAGTTCATCCGGCTGCCGAGAATGTTGATGTTGCTCGCATGATGGGTCGCTGGTTTCAAGTTCGTTCTACCGAGTTTAATGAGCCAATTTAAATGAACGAAGCAATGGAAAAACTTGAGTTGAGTGAAACACAGCAGTTCAGCCCGTGTCACACAAGAGCGAAATTCTCCGGAGAGTTTTTGTTGAATATTCGTCTCCCTTTTTCTTCTTCTAATTAAATTTTGTTGGAATTTTCAATTATTTCTCCTATCATTTGTCCCTAATTTAACTTTTGCTCCTAAAGCGCTCGTTAATAGAAAAAAAGTGTTTGGTTTGTAAAAATCTCGAGAGTGTTCGATGCAGGAATCTCCTTAAAAAATATTACTTGTCCTAGGATTGTGGAAGAGTAATGGGATGCAGGTACTTCCTAACTCGAAAATCATTGTTGCCAGAGCACCAAAAAAAACGAAAGTTGGAGGGTTTGATCTACTAAATTTATGCGTTAAAATTTGGCAGGTCAAATCTACGGATCCATTAAAATTTGTTTGGTTAAAGGATTTCACCTAGAAACAAATAATGACGCGCGAAACTCACCAGTAGAAACAAATGACTTTTTGCATGGCTTTATCCAGTCGTGGCTTAATAAGTTTGTTTGTGCAATGGGCCTGAAAACTTTTTAGCCGCTGTTTTAACTATCAAATTTTTCGATGTGCAATTCATGAAATTTTTACAAATAATGTGCGATCACTAGACAAAATACAAAGGATCTGGAAAGGAGCCTCGAACTTCTATGTTCTCATGGCACATGAAATTGATCTTCAAAGTACCCTCCATATTCGTCTTCTGTGAGAAGCGCAGGCATTTTCAGTGAATGGGGTAAAAACATGTGTTTTTCCTGCATTTATTAAATGAATAATTTACGAAAAATCTGTCTGCACTTAAAATAGTCTTACACGCCACAGTATGAGCTGTAGATAAGTCATCCAGAACATACTGTGATGTTACACGTTTTATTTTGGCCACATTACCTCAGTTCGTGATTTTTTGCCTTACTTCTGGCTGCATTTGCTCAACACCATAGCAGGTGCCATTTCTGGCCATTTATGAAAAGTCTTTTATATCAGCCGCTTTTTTCCGAAACTCACAATATAATATTGATTATGAAAATGAAGATCCTATTTAGTAGCAAATAATTTATGCACTTTACAGGTGATCAACAGTCCACACGTTATTCGAGAAGCATGTACTGTCTCACACTGTAAGCTTTTTTGCAACAGCTGGATTTTGTTGAACAGGAAAATATGTTCTTTGCGGGGAAGGCGGGGGGCCTTTGCAAAAGGCCCGAGTTTAATTGAATTGTGTCGTTCCCTCCGGACCCGGATACAAATCAAAGCCCCGCCAAAACGTTTTTGCTGGGGTCGGTATAGCAACTTGTAACAGGCTTGTTTAGTTCCAGTGAACATAAAAATTTTTGTAATTTGCAGTTGGTGCACTAACAAATAATACATACAGTGCAACATTCACGATACTCAAATTTTACCGTGAAGGGAATGCAAATGGACCACCACGGTTCTCGCTTGGCTATGGCTTCAAAGCAGGCGACACCGGCCAGTTCGTTCTCCACAACAGCAATTCACCTGATTCCGAACCATGTAAACGAAATTTTATTCCACTTTTGTCGTTCTTTTTGCTATTACAGGACCAGTGCCAGTAAGAGCAAAATGCTTTAAGCGGTACTTGTGAAAATAACTGAGAATCCACATAGGTAATCCTGAATCACGGGCTTTTTCATTTTATGGAACTCCGTTATTCACTGTGTCAAACTCGTGAATGTCATTCATTGCAGTTTGGGTGATTAAAAAGGGCCCGCTGAATGAGTACAACCAGTACGATTATGCGATTGTTTCAAATTGGGTCCGGTTTCCAGTTTTTGTAATTGCACGAGATCCAGAACGATTTCGCACAGAGCATATGCGAAATGTGTTGCAGTTTCTGGAGGATAATAGTGAGTTTTTGCGAAAATTTCAAGTTTTTTACCGATAAATTCGAAAAAAATTATCCAGTTTTCAAGAGCACAGAATTTTCCTAAAAAGCAAAATTGCCAACAGTCTGAAACAATAAGCAGTTATTATTGGATCCCTGAGGGGAAATTTTAAAGGGAAATTTGATGCCAGCTTATTGAGTCAAACTTTTTCGGCCGGAAGAAACAACAAACATCGTGCTGAAGGCGCTTTTGCTGCTTCAAAGTAATATGAGAGTGATGAAATAATTTGGACAGGGAAAGGAGGAGAAACGGCGAAGGGGCAGTCCGACTGCATTTCTCACAGGTGCAAGTTCATCTGAAGTTCCAGCTAAATGGAGTCAGTCGAAGAGAATTTCGGCCCATTCTTGCAGAAAGTGCCGAATAATTCGACTGCTCGTTTGAACTGTGCTTTGGAAGGAAAAGTTGGTTAGCGGGCGATCAATTGAATACGGTCCTCGCAGCCCATTTTTGCATCACTAAGCTACTGTTAGATATTTTCTTTTCAGATTATATAAATGTGATGACGAAAGCTTTCAATATGATCTCTCCGGTGGACTACAGCCAGTGTCAGTACACGCCAACATTCTCAGGCGCCGGGCGCTAAACAACCATTTCTCGTGATTGTGTTTTTCACTGTACAGTAATTTGTCATCAATTTTGCAGCCTTGATCCGGATAAATGCGCCAGGCACAAAACAAGCACTGATGAAATTCGAGCAACAATTTTAAATATTATTGAATTTTGTTATGTTCCAGTAAGCAGTGACCAATTTGCAGTGGATAGAGCTGTAATGTGCGATACACACAGGACGCAGCATACTGCAGAGAAACCTAATTTGCTTGGTAATCACCGAGATTACAGTTTGTATGAGAGGGTCGCAAATTTATCAGAATAGGTCTACGAGTCACAAATCAGTTGAGACTGCATAGGCTGCACCACCCGAAACTGGAACTGCTGAGCCGAACAACGCAAGAACAGATGTTCCTAGCTGAATCAAGAGAGGGAGCATTTTTTATCGTCAGCTCCCAGCGTCTGCAATATCCTTGTTCTCGACGAGCTGCATATTTCCGACGAATTGAAATCTATTTTTTTCAAATCCAGTGATTTGATTGATTTGAGTATTTGTCTGGGTTTCTTCGTCGGCGACGACCGCGCAGTCAGCTCTTTTGGCTTCCTCCGCTCATCCTCATCGTGCTGCTCCTCTTTCGATGGCTTCTCCGTTTTGGAATTCTCGGTTGTCTCACTCATTTTCTCGGCCACAGAGCGGCATTCAGCAGCAGAACTGTAAATTTTTTGGATTCAAGAAAGTTACGAATTACAAGCGTCCAGGTATTGTATGGTTAACTCCGGCAGGGAAGGAAGGCGGAGGGATGAGGCAGCGACCTGGAACGTTGAGGAAAAGTGTTACTAAGGCGAGCTGGTTTAACAGGGGTGTGCTGGATTAAGCTAATCAGTTGCTGAAGTCGTTGCTCAAAGCTTGGAGAGATAATATACTGCTGAGAGAAAGCTAAGCAGAGAGAAGCTAAGTTTAAATGAACAAGGCTATGGAAAAAAACTTGCATGCTACTCTCTCTGGAGAAGCGCTTCTTCAGGCGCCGCATCACCTTGTTCGCAACGCCGTCATCCGTATCGCTGTCACTCACCAGTGCTTCATACTTCTGGAGACTAGTGGATGCACTTGCCAGCTTCGGCATTCTGCCCAGTGCGAAAATTTTTCCAAAAATCTACAAGTACTTTTTGCTATGGAAAGTGAATGTGCCCCATGAATGGTGGGTGACTCAAATTAAAGTTGACATACGCCTAAGCGCTTTAGCCTTATCCCTCATTCCGCATAATACATCCTAATCGAGCAAGGCCTAGACGTTGTTTGACTCACTAGCATCCTCGAAGCAAGCAGAACTTTTCGGACCAGCCGGGGAAGCAAAGTAAAATAGCACTTTTAGAAAATTTTAAACCAATGTAGTACCATGGGCAAACAATGCTAGGATTCTAGTCTGATGATAGCAAAAATTGCCTATGAGTGCCGAAAACTCGAGATGTTTTTCAAGGAACGAAGGTTCCTTTCTGTGCTCTTTCTCACTCCCCTTTCTCTTTTTTCCACCCACTGGGCAATTTCTTCTTTCACAGTTTTTTAGGGGACAATTTCGAAAAATCCATTAATGGCAAAGAAAAAAAATTAACCGTTCCAATATTTGTGGATGCTGATGCGGAGCACTGATAAATATTTTCGGCGTTCGTGGGGTCGCCATCTGTCAATCGCTCACAAGCCTATTTCAACGGAACTTACGCAAAAATGCGGGAGCGAACTGCATCAATTTTTCAACTTTGAAGAATGTCATTAATGTCGAATGTATTTTAACAATTAATTAGCAAACTTAAGGCAAACTTTGAAAAAGTCATATTTCATAAACTGATAAGAGAAAAGAAGTGCACCTCATCATAGTCGATCTCCCATTTAGCACTCGGCAAATCCGTTTTGTTTATCGCAAACAACATTGGTACTGTATTCGAGTTATCACGCAGTCGAGTACTGCGGCACTCGATTATCTGCTCCTTTATGCACACCATCTGTGATATGCTATCATCTAAATCCACAGATCCAACAATCAAAAATAAATCACCTGAAAATTCACATCCCGTACTCTCTCCCAAACAAAAAATTTTGATTTCTAAGTTCTCCAGAATTTAGAGTTTACGCATATAAGGCAACGCTTTCAATCACAAAACTGAAACACAGGATTTTATTTTACAAATTTCTCGGAACTAGATGCTTGCCCGTGAGAGGCTAGACGGGCACTTCATATTTTAGAGCAACGGATTTTATTGTTATCCGGTAAAATGAGGCAAAAATAACACAAAATGAAACTGTAACTCAAGCGTACACCGATCAACTAAACTCTCGTTTTAGTCTAACAAAAAGCAGCGTATCGTCTTCACGGCATGTAGTTTGCTACCAAAATATATAAACGTAAAATTTATAGACAGAATGAGCCAAACACGTAGCGAAATATACAAAATCCACACACCGATAGGCAGCTTCTCAACAAAATACGTTCATCAGTGACGTAAGAATATACGAAAACGACGTTTGGTGCACTTTCATTAGCCTCACATGTTTATACATACACTAATAAATGCACTATGACAGTTAACCATTTTCTTATAACTGAGCTTTTTGTTCAAATCGACCGTACGACGGAAATTTTTCATTTTTATGCGTTTTGCGCTGTGTAACAACAGCACAAAACGCGTACTGTCACTGGGCTGTCCATGTATGGGTGTGTTTCTGTGTCCGAGTGCGTTTTGTCCTGCACTTTCAACTCGAGAACCACAAAAGCTAAGCGACTGAAATTTTAGGGTGTTGTTCCCTGTCCAAGTATGACCTCACCAATTTAAATTCAGCCTCCCCGTATCCGCGAGTAACATGTACGGCCTCGTAAAAGTTCTGGCGGGGAAAATTATTGCCTTGGAGACTTTAAAATCCATAAAATGTCATGTCAAAAATTTGGACATGACAATTGATAGATTTTAAAGAACTTATTCAGGATTATAAAAGATCGGTTCAGAACCACAGCGCTGCCTGTTATTGTAGCAACGAGCGTTTAAAGTCCGCAAAAACCCTCTTGCTGCATGACTAGCTTAGGTGCCTTCGTTCTAAAATGTTTGGAATCTCACATACAATCTTTGTTTGCAACTGTTTCCAGACTTGCGATCCACTCTTACAGACCAAATATGTGAAAAGAATCAGAAATCAGAAAAAGAAAAAAACTATATGTGCTATTGACTCAGTACCTCAAAACGGAAATATTCGCGTGGGTTTCAAACATAAGAGGCTTGAAATTGATTTGATAAAATGATTCTGGTTCAGATTTAAAAATTTTTTATCCGAACCGATGTGTGCACTTTCGCAGTCTCGCTGAGATCTTTCCAGAAATGTTCACCATTTTTCCAATGTGACTTCTGCCGCAAATTGCAATTTAATCAAAATTTTTGTCGTGTGGATGAGCTTGGCAAACGCTAGGAAACGCACAGTGATAAATTTGGTTAAGTAATTAATATTAAATCGTTAGAATTCGTGACTTTCTTCATTTTTTAAAGCAGGATTTGTACGTATGTGTGTGTGTGTGT